GGAGAACGAGAGAATAGGGATGCGACACACTTGAACAACCCTCTTCAGGGGGAGTTCAAGCGTGGCAGGCACCGACAAGAAAAGCGTCAGCACTAAATTAGCGCACACCCCTCTTCCAGGTACACTATTGTGAGTATATCTGATTATATCAAATCTTTGGAAAACAAATTCCCGGGAAGTTTTTAACAAGCGCCGACGAGGACGGAGAGTAGAAGGGAGGGAGACGAAATATTTGTATCGAGTTCGCTAACAGCATCTGAAACGACGCGACGAGGCTGCGCAGGCAACACGCAGTGTGAGCGGGAGCGGACGGCTCAGCCAATCGGTAGCCGGCTTTGGGACAAAAATTTCGGCTTCGTCGCGGCCAGACTAGCAACGGTGCAGCCACCGTTTTTCCGCTTCAACTTCCGTTGTCGAAACTTTTCTCCCCCCCCCCCGCCGCCCACCCTTTTTTTTGACGTAGCTCGTTAGGCTAAAAGAGGATCGCTGTTTACTCACCAATTACTTAATTATGAAACCTGGAATAGCAGCCACTATCCGGCTGCTACAGAAAACTTCCAGACGGGCCGCCAAGTTAAAGACGGTCTCAAACTTTTAAAAGCGCTACAGCTTTCACCCGATCACGGAACGGAGAGCGCTCATGAAATTTTGAAAAGTCAACAGCGTCGCCGCGGCCGAGGGGACTGTGCGGGGGAGGCCGGGGGGAAGAGGCCCTGATGGACGCGCGGCCTGGTGTCGAAAAGTCCACGCCACCGCCTGCGGGCGAGTTACGAGAGGCGAAGAAATGGCATCTATTGACCGAATAAAATACTGAAAATCGCAACAAATTCCACAGAATTAAAAAATTGAACTATGAAATTGTCAGGAGTTTCTTCATATTTTAAAAGAAATTGTACGTTTATACACACATTCTTCACTTTGGCTCTTAAAAATTAATAGAGCGGTTTTCCGCGACATAAAACAGTAAAAGCAGTCAAGCATTTGTAACCGGTAGTTGCATGAGAGCTGTGAATCGAAATTACCCGACCAACAGTCACTGCATAAAAATTCTCATCCAGAAAGTGGATAAAAGTTCGATCCAGCTATGTGGCTCGCAACCCACGGTAGATACCCCAAACCTCAGACCACTCCATTAATAACGTTCGAGAGGCAACGTTGCCGCTAAAAGTTTCAATGCATCATCGTAGCTAAATTCACACGTCATAATTGAAGTATTACGCCAGCAGACAAATGCATTTGAAGATCGTATGTCCCAACACATAAGCAACAATGAGATCAACGAACAATGAGATATTTTCAAAGATTCATAGATACACTGCACACAAATAATTTCATTCAGATTCATCATTCGGACTATTTTGATAGGGAATAAGTGATTTGGAATAGTTTTCCGTTGATTTATAAAGCCCAACTTCGGTTCTCGCTTAAATCAAAATCCACTCAGTCTATTCACGTATTTATTGTACAGCTACAGCAGCTTAGATTTATCAGCAGATAAATAACCAGAAATGACAACCGTGAACACGACTAACGACTATAGGCTCGAACATAAGAACGTCAACGAAGAATAACTGCCCTACAAGAATTCCAGACAAATTCGCCAAACATTTGGGCAGCCAGACACAGCAAGCGTACATATCGAGGCTTACGCCACGCCCCAACAACAGCAACCAACCATCTATTTGAATTTTAAGTCGATCTCTAACCAGCTTTAAAGATTACTGCCCACCGCTGTATGCAAGCAACTGTCGATACTCGCAGACCACCCCTCCCCCCGAAATAGCCCGGTTATTACCCGGTAACCGAATCCACGGGCGTCGCCGGACGGAAAGTGCAAATAGAGGAGAGCCAGTTAATTTAGCACCGGCGGTACGCGCGGCTGCCTGTTTGTAAACTATAATCAAGTGGGAGTGTGTGCATAGGCGCGCAAGTCCGACCGCTGCGCGTAGGCTCGCCCACGGCGGCGCCCCCCTCCCCCGCAGCGGTGCACGCGGAGGCCCCGAGACAGCACCGCACGGCTGGACGAAGATGAAGGCGTCAACAACGCGGCGTCTTTCAACACAAAGAAATGCTCATCGATCCTCTTCTGTCTTATTAACGTCCTCAGGCCGATAAACTGTAATAATAACCCACCCAGTATGTTATGTGTATTGTTTGCCGCGTGTCGTTTCTATCTTTTCGTAATACTACCATCATCATAAAAATAAAATCTTCATACATATCCAGAAGGAACATTACCTGAAATGTGTACTCATACACCAACTTTAACCCATTTCTTTCGATTGTTCTAACGGGCAGTAGGCTATTAAATTCTTAGCGGGACCCCGTCGCGTTGAGTGGTATTTCTTTCCAGTAAACACACTGGACTTTTGACAATTACAAAAAATTAATGTTACAAAAATACTACATTTAATATAGAGATTTTTCTTTTAAATCAAATCTCTTCTACAGAGAAAAACATCTCCAAAATATGAACTCAACCTGTTTGAAAAGGCTTTTCAAGTAATTTCTGCTTGATATTCAAAAAAAATACATAAACTTTCGAAATTCTGAAATTTTTCTAAAATATTACAACTTAAAAATAATGCGAGAAAGAACGTTCTGTTGTAGTACCACTACTTCTGACTTCTACTAGCCCGGGCAGCCGTGTCACATCAACACAGACCAGTCGTTGTATGTGCTGGAAAACCGAGGCAAATAATGTAGTAGAAGTCTGGAAAATAACATTGATACGAAAGACTGAACCGGAACGAAAGTCAGCGAGGCGACATCGTCAAGTGAAAGCGCAATGCAACAAGTAGCGGAAAGAAGAAAATGTCGGCGAAGGGCCTCGAGCAGGTCGGTGGGATACGAACACACACGAAGCAGCGGAACAATAAAGGCGAAGGAGACGAAAAGGCAGAGGAGGCACGGTGGGTCGAGAGGACAGCACCAGGGCTTCGGAGCGGGAAGGGAGGAAAGGAGGGGCGCAGAAACGGAGGACGGGACCGGCTGCGAGAAATTCCGAGCAAGTTAGTTTCTTGCTGCAAGTTGTTGCGCTTTGTTTACTGGCGGCCGGGGAGCTGTTTGCTCGGCGTGGCGACGCGCGTGCGCACGCGCGGGGCGCGACTCGCAGCCCGTGGCGCCTCCCGCCGCCTCGCAGAGCGCCCTGGCGGCGGACCGGCGCAGCACGCGCCCGCCTCGCAACGCGTCGCCGAAAGAACGCCGCGCTAAAAAACTACGGCGGACGCGCTACGTGAATTCTCATACAATCAACTTGTTTATTTTTTTTAACGAAAAACTGATAACGTTTAGTCAGGGTTAAATGTAGTGGCTCCTCCACAGGAGTTGGAGGCAGAGGGGAATCTAAGTCATTTAATCCAGAGATTGAATATTTAAGTAGTGCCGAAGCTGTCGATTAAATGAAATTGTCCCTCTACCTCCAGTTCGTGACTTTTAAGGCGCACTACATTTAAATCGGACTACAGACTATAACGTTCGTAGGCATTACTTGAGGTTGGTTGGTTTGCTCCTTAATTTACTGATACGAACTCATACTCGTAATCGAACTATTCCATTCGTAATCCTTATCCATTACATATATCGCGATCTATCCCTGGACATCTTCGTAGCTATTAGTCTCAAGCCTATGTCGAGTTTAAGAAAAAACTGATTACATACCCGACATGAAATAGTGACGCCCGCCAGATGATTTGAAATAACAAATTTCGAGGCATCTCTCTAGAACGAATGGATTATGAGTATCTCATCCTATTAGACTAGAGAAATAATTATATTAAATGGTTGTACAATTATAAAATATTAAGTATTTTGTATACTAATTCCTTTTTCTACGGCGTTTACCTACAGTGCTATCGTTACGTATCATTAAAGTGGCATATGAAGCCACTTGGATTAGCCAGGCCTGATTTTGAAGAAAATATTCATTGCGCGAAATAAATATTTAACTTTCCAATGATCGCTGAACATGCATTGTAATCATAAACTGCACTACTATTTCCCACTCATTCATCAAAGCCTCACAATTCTTACAATTGGTCAAAAAGAAAAACAAAATTCAGAAGATTATTTACCACTAAATAAGAAAGGCGAAAACGAAATCTCATTGAAGTCTGGGAGAACCTAGTAACGAAACGAAAACAATAAGACGAAAATTACACAAAAAATCGGACATCTTGTAGAACAGTGATGGGTACTTACCGCCTTTTTGACAAACGAGACGAAGCCATACCCTTTGGATTTCAAGGTCTGCGGGTCTCGAACCACTCTACAGTCTCTGCAACAAAGAAACAAAAGCCAGGTTAGTGAGACAGCTCTGCGGGGCGTAGAGGCAAGAGCAGGGCGACGTCCGCGGGAAGGAGGGGAGGAGAGGCCGGGAGGAAAGGACGACGTGGAGGAAGGGAGGGAGAAAAAGAGGACAGCAGGGCGTGGGCCACCGGCTTCCAAAAGCGTAGGCGGGGACGCGGGCAGCCCGCACGCAAAGTAAGACCATAAAGAAAAGGATTAACTTGCTGACACTCGCAGCTTAGCAGTGGAATATTTTAATTTGGGTCATTAAACCTCTCCAGACATTAGCGGAGAAAAAGGCATCGCTCTATTACCGCACTACTAAACCTACAAATGGATATGAATTTAACCTTTTTTTAAAAGAAATAAAAAGGTTGCCGTGTGAGAGAAAGTTTGCCGCGGCCTAGCACAAGAGAGGACCCTTACTTGCATTACACTTCGAAACTAAACTCAATTAGCGGCCAGCAGTAATAAAGGCAAAATGAAGGGTTTATTCCGAAAGGATAAGTTAATTATGCAATGCTAATTAGAAATTCTAGGTATAAATTTGTGAGAGTATTATTGCCGAGTCCTAATGTGCACAGATCACAAAGAATTATTAAGAACACACTACATCCCAGAGTACTTTACAAGTTAAAACGTACGGAGAAGAGGTGGATAAAACCAGGAAGGCCACGGTGTTCTCAACGTGAGAGATTATTTTGGAATACGTTGTAACACGGATAAAACAGAATTGGATATCGTCGTAAAAAGGATTTACACGGGCGTGTAACGATACAAGCTATTGCGATCCAAGGCGAGAGCACACGCACACAGACACCAATTAAGACACGCCACCCGACCGTTGCAAAAATTCGAATATGCACGAGAAGGAAACAAAAATCATACCCACTTCAAGGAGATTAACGACCTTATTCCGGGATGAAGTACAGCAGTAATTCTTGTTTAAAGAAAAGGAGAATGACAGTTTTATTCTCGCCATTCCCGGGCACAGGCGCCCCGCGAAGCGAAGAGGGAAAAGTTTTTATGATCTCGATACCCGAAACGCAGGTACCGCCACGTCGTGTAGCGGGATTCCAGAACATCGTCGCCGGGATTGAATTGGGGGCGGGGCCGCGCGCGGCACGGCAGCTGATACGAAATTCCCGGGCGAGACCGTGTAATAAATTTATCTCGTAAGACAAAGCCGGGATCAAGAGAGGCGAAGTTCGTCAGCGCGGCGAAGGCAGAAGGTAGCGAGCGACCACGGCGGGGGCGGCGAGAGCGCCGCCTCCGCACCGTCGGCAGACCGCAGCACGGCTTACACTTTTCTAATTTCCTCCGAGGGAGTTTTCCCCTCGCCCGTCCTCGGCTTTCCTATTGAATGGCCACCGCCTTCACCGGCAGCGCCGGAGCGGGGCGGGGGCGGGGTGGAGGGGGAAGCAGTGGCTGGGCGGGCGGCGAGGTCCACGCTGTAACGAGCAGGCGGCAGACTGAAGAAGCGCGCGGGGGCAGCAGAAGGCAGCTAGCGGGGGAGTCAGCGGGAGAAGGGAAAAAGAGGGGCGGAGGCGGCTGAAGAGCAAAGGTGGAGAAGGGATCAGAAAGAACGAATGAGAAAGAAGCTTCGGGGGCGGCACACCCGTATTAACGCTGAAGAACAGAATAAAGAGAAGACGTGCTACGGAAGCTGAAAACGAAACGTAACAGATAAGGGACCGCACTAACTGGGCTTAATGTTAATTATACGGACATACTAGTTTACGTAAATTTACAAACCCAAAGAGATGTGTATGTACTGAAAATAATAAACGTTCAACAGACGAAAATCAAAAATCTGATGTCACAGAAAGCTTGGTAGAGTAAAGCACACTGAAAACGGAGATTACAGCTATGCCACACGATAGTCCAGAGCGCCAATAATAACGGGGCGGCTGAAAAGTGGAAGTGAAGATGGATGAAGATCAACGAAAGGGTGGTAGCGAAGGGGAACCAGAGCGGAGGACGACTGTTGGCTCACGGACCTGCCAAAACTCGGGGCGAGGGGGGAGGGCGCAATTTCTCTTCGAAGAGGGGAAGGGGCGGGGGCGAGCCACGACCGAGCACGGCCGCCTCCTCCTCGCGGCCAGCCAGCCACCCAGCCACCTAGGGCCGCCCGACCGGGAATTGATTGGGGGAGGAAGGCGCGAGGCTTTCGTTCGTTACTGCCTTCAGAAGTCGGGCTTACGGGCGGCCCACGTAGCTTTGGAGGCCGGGGCCGGGGCCGCGGGCGCGGAGCCGGGGAATCCGGCAGCTCCCCCCAGGAGCAACCCGGCGGCGGCGGCGGCGTATTACGATACATAAAGTTCTTCCCCCCACCCAGCGGCCGGCGGCGCGCGCAGTATTTTAGACGGGAATATTGAGGCCACGGGGCGCGGCCAGCCGCCGGCCGCTGGGGCGCGGCTGGGCGAACGAGGGGAAGCTCGGCTTTGCACCTGGCTGCGCTCGCGTTCGCCGCTCAACAATGACGCTAATCCAGATTACGATTACCATGCTACTCAAATTAAGTAATGCAGTTTTCTCTCGGAAGGAAAGGAATAACGCTAGCCGCTTCTATGTTGAAATGCAGCAGGTGTGAAAAGCTTACATCTGAGACGCATAGTGCAGAAAAATTCGTCAGTTACGCATTTTTTTGGAGCAAATAAAGAAATTAAATGACTTGTCAGTACTATTGAGGGCATAGATTTTCACAAACCCAAACGTTTCCGTAAAAATTTTATTTTAATCAGTGAAATCATTCTAAAAGCAACTGACCCGATATTCAAAATACGAGTAATCAGTTTGCACGGATGGAAAGTCCACATCGAAATTACACAGCTTGTGCTTAATCAGTACTATGGAAAACTCGTGTAACAATGCTCGACAACATCCCCGAAACGATTAGCCATTCCACGAAATCTCGAAATATAACCGCCCGCGCCCCCAATATTGTATCTCGCGTCGAGAACCCACGCGTCGCATCGGAGGCCAAATATTCCTGGGCGATTCGTCAACAGGGGCACCGCGCGCAGGATTCGCGCGCTCCGGTGCTCCGCGAAGCGTTCATTCGGAGTAAACCCCGCCTAGATCCGGCATCAGCCGCGCCTGCCCATTAAGGGTCCCAGAGGACAGATCCCATGCTGACTGCAGCGCTAGCGGCGGAAGTGGCGAAATGATGGAGGAGGGGAAGAAGAGAGCAACAGGGAAAAGAGCAAGGTCGGAGGCAAGGAAAGAGAGGGCAAAAGCTAGAAGTCACGGGGGTAGCAAGTAGCAAGAGCGGCTCTCGAAGACGGTTAGCCAAAAGAAGAACGATCGAAATTGAAGGATTGGCTGCGGAGGATGGCGCAGTTGCTGGCAGTGGCAACGATGAAGGTGATGGAGGGCAGTCTCGGTAATGGACGGCGGTGAAGAGCAGATGTAAAGGTGGCTGTGGTGGTAAATAGATAATTTGGTTTCGGGATGCGACAACTACTACGGTCATTAGTCCCGTAAGTGTAGTGTTTAATTTTACCGCGGGATGTGGCGGGGCTCTTCTCCAACTGGATAGCAAGATAAGGTGCCGACCTCCACGTCGACTTACAGTGTTTCCGTAACCAGGTATCTCTCAAAAGCGGGCTACCGCTCCAGCTCTATTCTCTCGATTAGTCTCCCGACAAGTTGAGGTAGTGTAGTGCGTGTGAGTGTAAGTAAGGGGTAAAGATAAGTCAAGAAAGATCGCGTGCGGTCCGTGGCCCGTTTGTAAGGATACTGTTCTGGCATTCGCCTGGAGTTGATAGGAGAAATCACGGAAAACGTACCGATCAGAGCAGCCGGCCGCCAGAATTCTCCTGCAGACAGCGGCTGAATTCGACCTTGCTACGTAGCAAGAAACGAAAACCCTGCCTCTGTCGGGGCTCGAACCCAACGACCTCCCAGTTAGTTGATGGCCTGAGCCAACTACGTCTGGGTGGTGGTGGTGATGGTGATAGGCGATCATTACTTCGGAAGAAGATGTGTTTGAGGGAGTGTGGCAGAAGAGTGCAACGGGGCGAAGATGCACGGGGGAAGGGGGCGTGGCAGGGGCGGCGGCAGCCAAGCCGAATGCGCCGCCGTGCGCGGTCGCCCGTCGCGGCTCCGCCGCCACCTCCATGGAAAGAGGATTACGTGAAGAGTTGCGCATTACGACCGGCTTAGCGCTGCCCCTCATGACGAATATTCCCCCCGCGCGTTAATACTAATGTTGTGGAACTGGAAAACGTTTCGGCTGCACGTGGATGCGCGCAGGCGGCGGCTGCGCGCTGCCCACACTGCAACCATCCACTCGTGCCGAGGGTTATCGATCATCGCACGGAACCCTTCGACGCCTCCATTAACACGTCCTTCGTATCTCCCACATTCACTGAAAAAAGTAATGTCAATCTCTTTTTAATTTTACTATAAACGAGGACTCAAAAACCGCAAAACAATGATTATCCGCATCAGGAACTCAAAAGACAGTAATGCATCTGACACAATTTATTTATAAAAATCTTTCTTTCCAAAGTTTCAATGCATCCCCCCTCTTTTCTTCACTTCATGTTTGTATGTTTTTTTGTTTGTTTATTTTCAATGAAGTACCTTAAGGCAATTTTCGAGCCACATACTTATCACAATCTTTTCATTTAAAAACATTAACCGCATTCTCAATAAAATTACTATACATATGCATAGCGTGTGATAACTATGAGCCGAAATATCCTCGTCCATTCCGTCCGATTCGCAACATGGGCGTATTCCACCAGCCATGTGATCGTCGCCGTCGGGACGTGCGCCCTCCGCGTCGTGTTCTCCGCCCCCGCCTACGCCGCAGCGGCAATTGCGCGGCACACAGTTGGCGCGAGCCGCGATACCGATATTTTTCGATTTCCCAATCCGCTACATTTCGTTTACTGCAGATCGGCTCCGGAAGAAAAGAGATTTCGGAAGAGAAGAAATATAAAATACGAAAGTGCCTCGATACTCGCCCGGACACGAGTT